GAGTTCACTCCGGTGCCATCTCACACCCTCGCTCGCACGTGAACTTAAGTGTGGGTGGGTGTTTTTTTTCTTTTCTTGTGCCCTTCCTCCATCTTCCGCCGCAGATGCAACGGAAACGGCCCTCCACACACACTCACACACTTTCACGTCTTGGTGATGATCGTTGTCCCCCCCCCAACCAACCCTCCAACAGTCCTTTTCTTCCTCTTCTACGCTTCACATCTCTCTCTCTCTCCACTCCCCCTTCCCCTCCCCCCGTGCGGTTGCCGCGACAGAAAGCGCGGAGCCACCGCTTCACGCCAAGTTCGACCGGAAGATGATGTCCCTCGTCTTCTCCAGGTTGAAGAAGGTGTAGTTCACAATGACCTCATCCAGCCAGTTGACCAGCGGATCATTCAAAAAGTCGCGGTCGATGTAAAAAAATACGGGCATTTCCACCAGCTCATGCGGCTTAAAACGCTGCTCCTCGAAGCAGAAGCACTGAATCTTATTCAGGTAGTTCGTGGCCTCGGGAGGGGCAATGGTGTAGGACGAGACGCCCAGCAGGGTGCGATTGCTGCGGTTGTACGCAGAGTAAAAGGCCAGCGCGGGCTCGCCGACGAGCACCTCCACCTCCTTTTGCAGTGGCACAAAGGCAATCGGCATGGTGTTGCCTACGTCACTCAAGAAACGCACCTTCAGTAGCTTCTTGACGACGGGGTACGACTTGTCCCGCTGCTCGCGCTCACGCTGCGCCTCCGGGGTGTAGAACTTGGGGTCAGCGCCGCGTCCCGTGGGCGCGCAGTAAATGCGATAGAGAGGAACAAACAGGAAGGTGCACCCAAGCGACATGATGGACACACTCGCGAAGGCAGAGAAAAACTGCCCACGTTCCTCGTAGTTCTTCTTGCTCTCCCTTTCGTAGCCACTTTCTATGCGAATCTTACGGGGTGCTCCACCGGCGCCCTTTGCGGCGCAGCGGCGAGCCCATGAGCGACACAGCATAACACGCCAGGGTCACGAGCCTCAGCTCTTTCCTACCGCCTCGATACTTCGCCCCCGGCGTCCACCGTCACGCCGAGAGGCGGAGGGAAAGAGAAGAAAAAAAAGAAAAAAGCAGGGGAAAAAAAGTATCGGGAAGGTGAAAACAAAAAAAAAGGTTTGAAGAAGCTTGAATTCAAGAAAAGACGCCAGAAAAGAGCCACAATTCACATAACTATGTGAGTGCAGCTGTGCGAGGGGCGAATAAAGCCGTACGACACGAGGATCTGTGGGAAAACGCAGGAGAAACAAAAAAAAAAGGTAAACAAATAAACTTTACACTCAAACTCACTTCTCAAAAAAGAAAAAAAAAGCGACGCTCGAGGAAAGTGGGCCTGCTTGTAGCATGAGACTTAGTGCAGTATTTATTCATGCGGGCCCCATCCTTCGCGAAGGTAATGCCTCCTCGTTGGCCTCTATGGACGGCAAATAAAAAAAAAAGAGGGGGAAAAATGAAATAAGAGTGAGAAATAGATAAAATGAAAAAAAAGGAGAGAGAGAAAGGCACTTCTATGTGGAACCGCATTTTCGAGGTTATTGTTATTGCTGGCTCCCTTTCTATGCTGGCGAACGGCCTTGCCGCTGCTGCCCACACACACACGCACACCCAGCAGGAGTGAAAATCGGGGTGAACAGCCGCCTCTCCCCCCCCCCCTTCCCCAGAAAGAGTTCACTGTGGGGAGGTGCGCTCCCGGGTGACGTCTTCTCTCAGGGTGGGTGTGAAGAGCGAGCGTTTGAGGCTGTCGCCGCTCATGAGACGCCGCGCCGGTGTTGTCTGCTCACTCAGAAGCTCCTCCGCTTTTTCCCCCACCTCCCGGCTCAGCGTGTAGTACTCGAACGGGGAGCGAAAGAGAGTGTCACGCTTCACGCCAGGGTGGGTGGCCACAAAATATTTGTAGCAGGCGCGTGTGTAGTGTTGTCCTTTGCAATCCTGCACAATGTCCTCAATATCGCTTGCGGAGGGTCGCAACGAAGGGCGCTCCTTTCCAAGCGGGTTTGCTTGCTCCTTCAGCAGCATTGAACGGAAGGCACCCTCGTCCTTGAAGCGAAACGGACAGCCGTGACAGTCAAACCGATCCACCACGGGAGGAAGAGCCAGCAGCGTCGCACACGACATAGAAGTGTAGCTCGTCTTCTTGCCTTCCATCCCGTAGATGTGGCGGAGGCCGTACCCGTACGCTGTCTTGGTAAACGCCTCTGTATTGCCAGCCGTGCCTTTAATCGTCATCAAGGAGGAAAACAACGTAATGGAATCCTGCAAGGAAAGACCAATTGCCTTTAAGAAAAGACCATACGTGAACCGTCCATGATGCTTTAGGTGCCCCTCGCGACGAAGGTGCTCGTCTACTTGACGCATACATAAGGGAAAGTGTGTTTGGGCGAGCCGGCGAACATCGCCTGCGCCCACGGCGCCCGACGACGCTTCCTGCATCGCAGACGTGGGATCCGCTACAAAATGTTCCAAGAAGGCATCCAGCATTCGCATGACCGTTTCGCGCTCTTCATCGTCCTCACTGGAGGTCAACTTCATCCGCGCCAGGTACGCTTCATGCAGGCCTCTATTTAGCTTAGACCGAAATATCGTTAGAAACACCTCCTGAGCCTGATCCCTGTGCAGAATGGCTTGCCCCCAAAGGCAGAGAACGCTACGAGTCTTTATAAGACGTGTGGCTAGGGTTAGTGGAACAGAAAAGTATTCCTCGCGACCGCGGGAATGCAGTTTTCCCTGCGACGCCGCAAAGTACACAATGTACTCCTGCAATCGTGGGTCCTGCCACTGCTTGTCAGAGAGCGGGTAGCACGGAAGGCCGTTGTCGCGCATCAGACGAGGCAAAAAATCCGCCTCACACTTTGCCACCTGCAGTTTGAGTCGCGCCCGAAGGAGGGCCTCCTCCGTCTTCACGAACCACTTGCGCCATTGCTCGCTCATGCAGAACGCAAAACGTGAGAGCAGGTGAGAAAGCAGGTCCTCGTCCCCCTCAAACACGACGGCGTTCAGGCCAGACGAGCCGGAGCGTGAAACCGAACGCCGCGGGGTGCGCGAGCGGTCGGCATCGTCTGCGGCGGGGGTGTCGTCGCGACCCAGCACCACGTGGTCGGCGGCCTGCTGCACAACCTGCTTGCGACGCTCGAGTGGAAGCCGCGCCCCGATTTCGTCAAGAACAACACTAAAGCTCTTCACGTTCGGCGAGTTCATCACCTGGTCGATCCAGGCAAGCAGCTCCATGCGCTTTGCCACCAGGGCCTCCAGGGTGAAGAGGGTGCTGGTGCCGGCGGGCTTGCGCGTGTACATGGTGGCCCAGTCGGGGGCGGGGGCAGCGGCGGGCTTCACCTCCCGCTGCTCCCGCGCCTCGCCCCCCAGCGACGTCGCGGTGGTGATGATCGCCTGCATTCCGCCCTCGCGCAACACGACAAGAGCCCAGCAGCAGCGCGACGACCACCGCCACTCCGCAACGGCGCTCCCACCTTCGCCTTAGCTCCCTCGACCTTCAACGCCGTCGAGACACGTGAAAAATAAAAGGAGCAGAAACGCAAAGAAGCAGAAGAAGAAAAGCGATAATAAATCAGTCGAGGCGATTAAAAACAACAGTAAAAATAAAAGTAAAAAACACACAAAAAATAATAAATAAATAAACAATAATAATTCATCACATGAAGAGACGGCGGTGCCTCTCAGGGGGAGAGGAGGACACGCACAAGCAGCCGCAGCAGGGCGGAAGGGCGCTGATGACGAGCATCCACCAACAGCAACACCAACACCAACAGC